GTAGCTTTGCGCCTTTCCTGGAGCTCACTTGGTAGCCCAGGCTGGCCTCGAACTCACAGCGATCCGCCTGGCTCTGCCTCCCGAGTGCTGGGATTAAAGGCGTGCGCCACCACCGCCCGGCTAGATTTTTCTCTTAATGGCAGTGTTCCAGTGGGTGTACAAGAAATTATTAAAGATAGCTGGGCAAGGTAGTGCAGGCCGTTAATCCCAGCACTTTAATACCAGAGCCAGGCAGATCTCTGAGTGCAAGCCCAACCTGGTCTACAAAGCAAGTTCCAGGCCATTCAGGGTCACACAAAGAGATGCTGTTTAAATAAATAAAAAATAAAATAAAATTAATTAAAAGTGATCTTGATAAAATGCTCCTCAAGTCTATAATCGTCAAATTTAATTTGAGCCTTAAGAACATCCTCAGGTGATTATATGCTTTCACAGACTGGACTTAAGGAGGATAGTGGAAAGACTGCACACAGTCCGTCCCCCAGTTTAACAGGACTTGGTGCCTTCCACTGGTACCTTGCCTGGGAAGGCCCTGGGTTCAAGCCCAACACTGTAACAAAAGGTAGGCACATGTTTGTTAGGTTAGAAAGCCAATGTACCACTAATGTGTAACTTAAACAACAGGTTCATTGTTAGATTTGTTCCTAGTTTGGATTTCTTAAGAATAAACAAGTTTCTGCGGGCTGGAGAGATGGTTCAGTGGTTAATAGCACTGACTGCTCTTCCAGAGGACTCAGGTTCAATTCCCAGCACCCACATGGCACCTCAAACATCCTGTAACTCCAGTTCCAGGGGATCCGACATATATGAGCAGACATACATGCAGGCAAAACACCAATGTACATAAAATAAAAATAAATTTTTAAAAACTTTATAAAAAAGAATAAAATTCCTTCTGTGCATCCATTTCCATACCTATAAAAGTAAAGGCAATAAGAAAACCTTTGTTAGCGTTGTTGATAGGATTAAATGCACAATAGCTTATACAGTAAACACTTTTTCCAAGTAAAGAGTGATTGGTATTGACATTCTTCATTGCTTCTTTGGACCTATTCATAATGCACTTAGTGCTCAAAAACCAGGGTGGGTAGTTAATACTTTCATTCCATCACTAGTGCTTTAAATCTCCTCCGGTGGACACAGAGTGACACGCACACCTGGCGAGCCACTTGTCAGCAGACGGTCTCGGGCGGGAGCCTGAGATGACTGGATTCCTGCGGCCACGTGGCACTCTCTCACGGTCTACCCTGCCTGTCATTTCTGCTTAGCCTGCGGGGCGAACGAGCTGCACCGGGCAGGAGCCCGCCGGCCTTGGCCACCCGTGTTTGCCGCTGCCGCCCGAGGGCGCTGGAGAGCCGAGCTGCTGGGTGTCGTGAAAGTGTCGTGAGAGCGGCCTTCCTTGACGGTTCCGGGCCACCCGTATAAGGGGGACGTGCCGGAGTGTGGAAATCAGTATGGAGACATCCTTGCGGCCTCGGCGTTGCCGGACATCTGCGGAGAAGCCGGCGGCCGGGTGCTGAGCTCTCGACACTCGGAGTCCGCGGCGGCCGCAAGGCCATGCTGGCGTGGCGCGTGGCGCGCGGCGCGTGGGGGCCCCTCCGCG